GTACAGAAGCCATCACTAATACCTTCTGGATGACAATATGACATGTGAATCTGGTTTTCAAATACAGGTGCTAAAAGTAAAGAAAAATAAACCCAAATTGTCTAACCTTTCTTTCAAATGGGATCTTCTCCACCTTTTTGTCTTCAAAAATTTCAATTCACTTCCAGAAGAAAAGGAGGAAACACTACTTGGATGTAATACCTCAGGAAAAGATTTCATACTTAGATTCACTGGGTTTTTCTCCAGAAGAAAGAACAAAAAAACCTGTTAGTAAAAGACATGTTCTTCCCTTCACCAAACATTCTCTGGTCTAAAATTCCCTCTCTTTCAGACATAGATAATTTCTCAGCTTTCTTGGTCTAATGCCACGTGAGTTCCTGTAATCCCTCTCCCATCTGGTACAGAAGCCATCCGGATGCACTTCCATTACTCGGCAAAACAAATATTAAAAAAATCCAGCACTTCACTAAAATGAAACATTTCAGAAAAAAACCCTTTGCCTGGGAGCAGGGCATACAAATGAGGAGACTTGATGAGCACCACAAAAGAAGCTGGAGCGGGACTCAGAAGTCTGGGCTTCTTCAACCACCTGGTGTCCCCCTTCCCTTTGCAGCAGGTACTCCCACAAGTAGCTTCTTTCCCGTATTTCTCACAGAAACCATAACACAAATATGCACATTTCCTGAAAAGGAGACAAAGTTTTGCTTGGTCTAGAAATCATTAACAAAGAAAGCTTTGAAATGAGTTGGTTTTTTGTTCCCCAGACATGTCGTGAATAAGGGACAGCCAGAATGTAAAAAACAACTATCTGCTATAGGGACTTTTAGGAATGGATACTTTTTCCCAAAGCTCAAAACTTCATGGCAGAGAGAGAAGAAGACACAATAAGATATTAAAACAGCAGGCTTAAAGGACATATTTGTCAGGGGATGTGGAGAACTACACAGAACAACAATAATTTTATGTATGACTGAAAGAGGTTTCGTGTTTCTTCTAAACCTTTTAAACAGAGTGTTTTTTTAAACCACAGTTTTATTTAGAAATACTACAGAAAATTTTGCATTAGAACTATACACAGCTCAGATCATACACTCTCAATTTCTGGGAGTGCCTGCATGCACGTGCACACATACACATACTTGGACAAAAATTAATTTAAATTAAAAAACATTTCCTAATATAGGGAACAGGCCTTATTGCCAAAGTTATCTCTACCATTACTGATCATTTATTCTGGCAGCTGCAATTTTGAACTCTCCATCCAACTGCTCAGCCCAGAAGGTCGGTCTATGGAAAAAAAAACATTTTTTTGTTCTTTCAGAAGCATAAAGGGGTGTTAGATTGTAAAGTAAGCTTTGCTACAGTTAAACTCATTAAATACAGCTGCATATTACAACAGATAAACAGTATTAAATAAATTCTTGAGTCTCCTTATTCTTGTTAAGCTTTTCCCAATAGTCTTAAGTACTCTCCCCACCTTTTTCCCAAACAACACAAAGAATAGGAAGTAATGTTTCTTTGTCAGAGCTACACTCTGGCAACAAGGCACATGACTTTGAGGTTTAAACACTTTAGCAACAGCTAAAGACTTCTATCCAAACTAATTTATAGATGAAAATAAAGAAGTAGAACAGTGAAAAACCAAAAATTCTGAGATGGAAAACCATCTCCATCTTAGACCATCCATTCTCTCTAGCCAGCTCCACGAGTCGGAATGGCATACTGCCATTCAAGGAATGACTGGAACCATTCCCTTTTATAACTGTAATACAAGTAATCCAATTTGCTTTAGAGTAATCAAAATAGCCTATAGCAGATTCTGTCAGGCAGAGAGCACAGGTATGTGAGCTTTCAGGTATGTTTAGAATTGTAGTACTAGTCCAGCTACACCATGAAGTTCAGTGTTGCAGCTCTGCCAGGAACCAGCAGCTGATGCTGAGGAAAGAGATGACACACCTCATTCAGCATCACAGCCACAGTGTACCTTTAGAAGTCAAGGAGGGAAAAATTCCTGTGCTCAAATGGCAAGATTTGCCATAGTTGTTTTGTTACTATTAAATTAAAAAATTAAATCCAAAAGTCACTTCATCCATCTCAAACTTGTTGAGCTGAATGATGGGAAATTCAGATTTGGTGTTACACAGGAGAAATATTAAGTTGTTTTTCAGTGAAAGTTGTTGATACAAATACAGTTTTATTATCCTTCCTGTCAGTTTCTCTTTCAGCCTTTGATATGAGTAACAAATCACTTTTCCTAAGTCATGGAACCAGCTTCTACCGTTAAATCATAAGCTTCCATTTGGCTTATCTATTTGTGTTAGGATAGTGAGAACAGAAATTGGTTTACAACACCGATCCTCATAAAAGCATTAAAAACCCACCTTTATTGGTTTTTCTAAAGAGAGCTATTTCTGGGCACAAATCACCAGGATTTGGCCTTTACTTTGACAGAATTGGCCCTTCTTGTTCTATATCCTTCACTTAGCTCACTTTTTAAAAGTCTGCCCAACACAGAGCTGAGTCACAGAATCAGTTAGATTGGAAAAAACCTCTGAGGTTACCAAGTCCAACAGCACCACCTTGTCAATTAGACCATTGCACTAAGTGCCACATCCAGTCATTCCTCAAACACCTCCAGGGATAGCGACTCCCCCATGTTCCTGGGTTATCCATTCCAATGTCTCATCAGCCTTTCTGTTAATAATTTCTTCTTTATATCTAACCCAAACTTCCCCTAGCACAGCTGAAGACTGTGTCCTCTTGTCCTGTCACTGGTTGCCTGGGAGAAGAGACCAATCACCACCTGGCTCCAGCTTCGTTTCAGGGGGCTGTAGAGGGTGATAAGGTCACCTTTGAGCCTCCTCCTCCTCTCCAGGCTGAACACCAGCTCCCCCAGCCACTGCTAATAGAACTTGTGCTCCAGACCCTTCACCAGCTTTGTTGCCCCTCTCAGGACATGCTCCAGCACCTATATGTACTTCCTGAACTGAGGCATCCTGAAGTGGACACAGGACTTCAGACCTCACCAGTGCTGACAACAGGGGAGGAATCACTTCCCTGGTCCTGCTGGCCACACAGTTCCTGATACAGGCCAGGATGCCATCGGCTTTCTTGGTCATCCAGGCACAGGAATCAACATCATGAACAGGCCAAAGTCTGCCCTCTGCAGCTGAGGCTGTGTCTTCTCCCTTTTCTTGTTTCTTTCAGTGCCTCTTGCTTCAGACCTCCCTGACCCTGGTTTGGTGTAACGGGAACATGGCATGTTGCATAGGGCGGCACTGGGCAAAGCCATGCAGCCTCAATTTTAGCCATGCACTGACTTGTTTTTATTTCACTTAAGAGGCCTCACCGAAAGCATGACACGTTCATTACCGTTGTAGCACCTTATAAACAAAACATCAACCAAAGGAATAACTACATAAACATCTTGTTAAATTTGCTGTCACTATTTCCTCGTGATCTGATGATAACTGCGTAACTTATTGCTAATACTAATTATTAGTCTTAACAGATTTGGCACATATAATGACTTCTACACCCACTTCCTGGCATTTCTGTTTCCCTGCTTCCTGATCACCACTGACTTTGTGTTACCCAGAGATCCTCCTACTTTCTCCTGAGAATTTTGTAACCTCTTATCTGACCCCACAGCTTCTCTACATCCACCTATTTGAAGTGGTCACATCTGGACAGGAAACATAAGATTAAGTTGGTACCATATTCTTTTGGACATGGTAATTCTGAGTGATATCATACATCTCATCATGCAGGGAAGATGCATCTCAGGCAGAAACAAAAAAAAGTTTTAAAGTCAAAGTAGAGGAGTTGAAAGCATCTTTTTCTTTCCTCTGTGGTGCAACAATTACAGCCACTGATCTGGTTTAATAGTTGTCTCATTAAAAGATTTACTACAGTCAAAACTCTGAATACATAGAACTGCTTTTTGATTTAGAAAATGTAATGATTCATAATTATTTTTGTTTAAGAGAGGTAAGAGAGCACCCTTAACAACCAGGGTGTCAGCAAACTCCTAATTTTAGTTTTACAAATGCTGTTGCAAAAATATCTTCCAAAAAACTTTTGACTCCATGGTCTGAGAAATATGTACACAGGAAACTTAGCCTGAGCTTTAAATTTATTTTCCAAAACTATGGGGTTTTGGATGCTTATACTGAGAGATTAATTTCTTGGTTAAGATTAATTGAAGTTAAAAAAGACTCTACTAAACCTTCAATGGTCTGGAGAAAAGGATATTTGGTAGATTTTAGAGAGAAGTATAAAAGCAGAGTTTCTGAGGATGAGCATGCTAGCTAGTGCATGTCCTTCACATTTTATAAAAGTATTCCCAAAAAGAGACCAATAGTTTCCATAAGTTTATGGAACCTCTAAGTTTACCATGTACCTTTTGAAGAATAAAAGTTTGATAAAACCAAAGAAGTATCCATACATAAAATTTTATTGTTAACTAAACCAAAAATTGCTTAAAACTTTAGGGTATTGCTACTGTAGTAAAAGCCATATTTTTCAAAACATGCTAGCCTGAGTTAGGTAATAGATTTACATGATGCTTCAAACCCTCTGGATTTTTGCTTAGTATAAAGAACAAGGAAAGTCTGCTAACAAAGCTAGTGCTGTTTGTTAGTCAGGTCTAGCATGAAATGGTTTTACATTCATAAAATGGTATTACACTCACCTACTGCTTTGCACTCACCCATAGCTCAAAACAGGAACACAGAGCAGCAAGAATCAGCTGAATAAAATGGATCTGTGATGATTTCACTGGGCTGTGGAGAACTGCTGAAATTTTATAAATCTGTGAAAAGTGAAGAGACAATGAGTTACGGAGCACTGGCTTCTCCCATAGTAAAGTGTCTGCCACATTTTGATTTTAAAATAGTGCCACTGTTCCAGAGGGACATTTCACAACAGAATTGACACCTTACTCACCCTATGGTCCCCCCTTCACTTAGCTAGCTAACAGATATCCCCCCTTAGCAGAGAGATTCCTGCAGTAGTTCACATCCTGGTGTCAGTCCCACACTCTTGTCCCTTGGTGCCAAAACACCATCCAGCTTCACATTAAAATACTGCTGGTAAATCAAGGATAAAATCACTAAAAGTTTAATGTAGCCACACATGTGTTGGGGGTTGATGAAAACTCTGACTTAAGGCCATGGGAAAAATCCCATTAGTCATGCAGAGCAAAACATTACCCACACTACCCCCTGAATAGTTGTATGTAAATGTTGCTAGAAAGTTCTATGGTTTCTATGTTATTCTTGGTTAGAATTTGGTGCATTATTTTACATATTCCTAATCCCTGGTTCTAATTGGTTCCTTCCCCTCAACCTACCTTGTATAAATTACTTTCTACCCTGCACCCTGGCCTTTTTAGTGAACCCCATACTGTTGTCCAGCTTATGTGTTTGTTATTTTTGTATAAGTGTTATTTTTCAGGCCACTGAATCATGCCCATCCCTCATTTATTCATCACCTTCTGGAGGACCTCTGACCAAGGATCCTGAGGTAGCACCTGGCCAGACCATCTGGGCCTGGCATGCTACACATGTGTTAACATGCTAGAAATTATTTAATTAGATTAATTTTTGCAGCCATATTTGATTGTGTGAAAAGTATTTCAACTTTGACTTGCCCACTTAAGACCTCTCTCAAGCAGTCTTCCAAAATTAACTGACAGACATTTCCTTTACTTAACCTGCTGCTCATTTTCACATTTCCTATCCTGGCTAAAAATTTAAAACATTTTATTCTGCTTCCTAGTTATACCTTAGTTAGCAATGTAATGAAAAAAAAATATCAGTGTGATAAAATCAAGAACTCAGCAAAGGACTCAGTATATCTTAAATGAATCACACAGGACTAACCAAGAACTCTTTATTTTCCAGGGAAACACAGATTTCATGGGAAATTTACTGTATTAGACTAGAATATTAAAAAATAAATAAAATCAAAACCTTTATTTTATTTCAGGTTGGCTTGTACAGAAATTAGTGTAAATAATTTTCCTGTGTTGTCTGACATGACTTAATTTCTGACAGTTAACAAACCAGAAAACTACCTTCCCCTCTGACCCAGAGAGAATATACTGACTCCCATTCTTATCCAGGGGTGACACCACAAACATTTCTCTGCCTGAACTGCTTGATGTGTGGGATTCACGGAAAAAGTGATTAATTAGAAATTACCTGGCAAGGGAAGAATAGCTGTAAGATCTTTTTTTTCTGAAAGAACGCTTTTCCTCTTGGCCACCCCTCCAAAGCACTGAAAATGGAAAAATCTGGGTGAGAAGTTAAAATGTGCCTTTCAGTAATTCAGGTCATGTGTATTTTACAGACTTTGAAGCATGAAAATATCCTGTTGACATTGAAAAGACTTCTACATTGGTAAGTTCCTGATTTTTAAGAATTTTGATCCTTGAAAAGCTTGAAACATGAGGATTTTATATCAGCAAAGCTCTGCATGCAAATACCAGACTTCCTTTTACAGGGGTAAATTCTAAATACTGCTTAGCTCTCATAATAGTCCCCTTCAATCTGAGAGATTTCTGTAGCATGCATCAGGTGAGTCTAATTATTACTCTCCTAGAAATTCTTCTATTAATGTTTTCTGCTTATCCTTTAAGGTAAAGAACTTTTCCTTGCCCAGGCCACTATTCCATGATACAGCTGCAGTTTTCTGGAGCTGAGATGTCCCTTTTGGTCTACAAATCAAAGAAAGGCATTCATCAACTACATCCTGATTGTGCAAACATAAGTCCATGGGGAACAAGGTAGATGCAAATCAGCAGAGAAGTCTTGCCCTCTTAAATTGATCTTTCCCAGGCTGGTGATTGCATGGAAAGCACCATGGAGAAAACAAAACCAAGCCACGCCGCAGAGCAAAAGCAGCTGAGTATCTTGAATTTCTTTGGACCTGCTGTTCACAGTAATGATTTAAACCCAAGAAATTCATGTTTCTACTGATGTCTCACATTTCTTCAAAGTACCCTCATTGGTTTAACCATAATGGGACAATGAATTCCCCATTCCAGCTCAGCAAACTTCTTACGTGATCAGAAGGCACAGAACCCATCAAATTATTTCCAGTCCCATTTCTTCCCCGTGATATAAATCTGGCCACATCAAAACAACCACATCCCTATTGCACTGATGACCCTCCTAAGACTGAGCTGTCACCCATATACCACTAAGTCAAACCTGTCAAACTGTTCTATGACCGCTAAGCTAAGACCAAATGACTTCACCAGTGGCCCCTGGGCTCTAGCAAGTGGAAAATATAATTGATCTTAATCAGATCAGACACCAGCTTCTCTCAACTCTATCTCAAAGTCTATTTGATTTCATGCTTCATTATAAAATCAATTAATTGTTTCATTGCCTAGTCATTTTATGTGCTTCTTATGGAATATATTGTGTTGATATTCAAAAGATAGCAGGCACTCAGGATATTTTGAATTAGCCATACACAGTAAGAATGGAAAAATTATTAAGACATGCAGCACATCTTAACCAATGCTATGAATGAGTTCACCAGACCATCCAAAGCAGTGTGATCAATTGTACCAGCCAGGGGGCCTTTCCTGAGTGCCTAAAAGCCCTGCTTTCACAGGGCCTTCCCAACCTGTGACAAAGAGACAAGGGCCATCCACAAATCCATCCTCAGCCTCACCTTCTGCCAGTGCACAAGCACTTGCCAGCACAAGAGCTCAGCCTCCTCAGAGCTGAAAGCAGAAGCATTTTCAGTGCAGTGAGGTATTCTGGAAACTGAAACTAAGCATGAAACACCAAATTAATTAGTACAGACATTACAATGTGCTGGACATGTGGAAAAGTTAGGCCACGATGAGGCTCTTTTGTGGCTGTGCAATAATGATTTAATTTTCCATGCAACACATAAATGTGAGTGGATGTTTATGGAAACATTTCCATTTATGGAAAATGGAATAATTAATTCAAGCACGGTTTCCTAAGGAAGTTGATTTTTAAGGGAGTTATTTATAGATTATTCTATCAAGCTTTTCATTTACATCTAGATTCAGTAAAGTACTTAGCCATGATGCATTTAAGTTCGAGATCCAGCTCCATGAATATATAATTAGAAACATTCATGTCAGACAAATGGGGTTCTTACATTAGCAATGAGAGAAATAAGTTGTTAAGATTCAGCCCTACAAAAATATGCATATATCTTTACCCCTGCAGAGAGTATTTGCAAGAGATGTGGGCTGGAAAACTGCTTTTCTGTTTTTTAGGTTAACTTTTGTCCCAGTTGCCATGGACATATTCCAAAGAGTATTTTGCCTTAGCCTTCATGGTTAAGTGCTCCTATAACAAATAATTGATTTTTTATGTTGGATTTCACTGCATTCTGCCACAACGAGGGGTGCAACAACTCCCCTGGGCCCTGAAGTCTTGGACCTCAGGCAGCTACTAATGACCAACAGGAAAAGATGACCACAGGATGGGTCTCGGTTTAGCAAAATTCAGAATCCTTTATTGCGTCAGGGACCAAGACAAGAACGAGGGCAGAGTCATGGGTTTTATATGCCAGGATAAGGGTGGAGTTTAGGGTCAGGGTTCAATAGCAAGACAAGCAGGAGACTGCAAAGGGGTGGACTGAGGAGGACAACCAATGGGAAGAGCTAAGGTGGGGACACTGCAGTAAAATTTAAACCACCGAGGGTACAGGAAAGGAAGAACATTCTGGGGCCATTCCTTATCTGACAAAATGGGGTAGAGTGCCTTTTCCCGGGTTTGAGGGGGCACACCCCACAGGGTGGAGGGGCAGAATCTTCTTTAGTCACGCCCCTCACTCAATGCTGTTTGTGTAGGTAGAATCCCCACCTCCTGGGGTGGGGGCACTCCACAACTTCCCCTTTTATTTTCTTTTAGAAACAGAGGATAGTTTTCAGGTTATGGCCCTAGGATATTCTTAAAAACTTAAATTACTTAGTACTTATTGGACGATTTATAGTGGGATTATGACAACTCAAAAAGGAATTCCCAGAGACAAAAAGAACAGTAGAACACTACTAACACAACAACGACAACTATAAAACTAATAATCTTAGCTGAACTTGTGACAACAGTCTCAATGGAAAGACTCTACTTTTTAAAAGTCCCTTCAATCAGTCTTTTGTTCTTTCTTCTTGTGGTCTTTATTTTCTTCTCTTCTGTTCTGCTAGGTACTCAGAAACAGATTGCTAGGCTTTTTAGACCAAGAAACACAGCACATTTGGCAAGGTTGCCTCATTTGTCTTTCCTGATTTTTCTCTGAAATATAGAACTCATACCATCAATTAGATTATTTTGAAACTCACACAAGGTGTTGTATAGGTAAACATCAAAGGGATGCACACAAGAAATCAATTTTGACAAATGTAAAGACTAAAAGGTATAGGTAAGAAAGTAATGTAATGATTAATGTAACACTGACTAAATAAATAAACCCTTCTCTTTCATTTCTTTGCTCCCAACTTAATACCTTTTATTCCTAGTAAACCACTCCTTTTCCCTTTTGCTCCCTCTCTCACTGTCTCCCTTTTCTTTTTTCTTCTTTCTCCTCCTTTTCTCTTCCTTTTAATAGTCTTTTAAGTATTCTACACTACTACCCCTCATCTTACCATCAAACAGCTTACATACACCTCCTCTTCACTTGATTTTTCATTCTCATTAAAACTTCTGTTACTTTTCCACTAACTAAAATTGTAGTTTAACACATCAAGTGTGAAAGTAAAACACATCAATTATAAAAAGACAAAATAAAACTCATCATTTGTAAAAAGCTTTTTAAACTGGTGAAAAATCAAACCTCAAATTAGACTTATTATGCCTTCATACTCCCCTCTTTTATTTAATTGTTTGTGGGGGAAAGAGATAGTTATGGTGTGGTAAATCTCTTAGAGATTACTCTTTATCGTAAGAGCCATGAATACTGTTATTCTGCTGGGCCCCTTGCAGAAAAGGCAATAGGCAGGGCATAAAGAGTGTATTCTGGAAAATTTATTCTGCAAATTAATTAAAATAGGGGGATTTTATGCTTAATGGGAATAGAACTCGCTTGAATAATTTTTAAAATTTAACATGAATAGTAGCAGTTAGGATTATTTGTGTCACATTAATTTTTTGTAACTTCAGCTGAGAACTATTTACATTATGTATATATGAAAATTAAGAGAGATATTAATAATTTGTAATAACTAAATTAACATTAACAAACTAAATAATAATACTGATACTTAATACAACTTTAGTTATTATAAACTACTGATGTCTTTGAATAGAGACATGATAAAAAAGGTACTTAACTTATAGGACTTAAATTAATACTATTAAATCAAGCTACTCATTTTTAATGAAGACTGGGGGGCTGTAAAAGATGGTTTTCTGTAAGAGATGGTTTCAGGAGAAGGCTTGAACGGTATTTAAGAAGTGTAGGTGTTACTCTTGGCTGCTCCTGCTCAAAAGATTATCTAACAGAGGGAGTAGAGGAGGCACTTAGCAAGCACTCACTGAGGTAGATGATGCCAGCAGAATTGCTTTATGCAGCGGGGATGCTCGATAGGTTGGTGGAAGCAGCATTATGGCAGAAAATTTTAAACTGAACTTAAAATCAATTTCAGTTGAAGTAAATAGGTCTTGAATATAACTAGGAAAGCAATGGAAGAAACTTAAAGTTTAAATGACTAAAGCTTAAAAGGAAGGTATTATAAAGATTATCTTAGGAGGACTTGAAATTTATACTGTTAAGCTAAAATTAATAACAATATATTGCCTTTTAAAGTAAAATAAAGAATGAAAACAAAACTAAATTTGACATCTATAAAAATAATTTAGCTTCTTAATTTAATAAACTGAGGCTTGAAACAACAAAAATAATTAAATAAACATATCTTCAACATAATATAGAACTCACTATAGAACTTATGATCTAAATACGACTGAAAACATATTTAGCAGGGATGGGGAGTGTTAGGGTTGGCACAGAAAACTTGCACAGTTATATTAATTTGTTGTTTAGAGCAGGCTTGGAAGTAGTAATAATGTGTTTTTTCTTTTCCTTCTCTGTCAGCAGCACTTGGGAGCTCTGGGTCTCAGACTTTGTAGAACACAGCTTGCCCTAACATGTCTTTGCTCTCGGTAATAGTAGCATTGGTTAGAAGTTTGCTGGGAATGCCTGTTCCCACAGTCGGGGCGGTGGTCACCAACACAGGCACAATTTTGTTGAGCACAAGATTTCTTGGGAGAGTCTGAACGGCAAGAGCTGTATCTAAAGGAGGCTCCTGGCCCTGGAACACAGGCTTTAAACTGATGGCTAGAGTAGGATTTCGATCAGCCTGGTTTCGAAGGGGCCATATTGTGCCGGCAGAGGCAACAAAGTGGGAGACTCTCTCAAAAGAAGGGGTGGAAGCATTGATGTTGTGCTGGATAACTGCAGCAAGTTGTCTGGGGCTCCAGTAGGGGAGTTATGGGCACCACCATTTTGGGGGGAGTAAACAAAATGATGGTTTCCAGAGCGGGGCTTCTGGTTCCGTCTTACCCGGTAGAGGCATGTCCTATAATGGAATGGTCACAACCTCCAGAGGTGGAGCACTCGGGGGGAAAAGGCAGAGCCAGAGGCAGAATCGGAGGCAGGAAGAGAAGGTGAAGAGGAGGAAAACAGGTTCCAAGTGGCACGGCTGTCACTATCTTGGAAAGGAGGGTCCGAGGTGGCACAGCCAACACCACTCTGGACCAAGGACAGAGGAGGGTGTGTGAAAATCAGAGGGTAAGAGAATAAGTGGAACTTCACAGAAGTTAGAAGGGGGCTTATGGGAGAGGTGACTGACAGCAGGAGACTTTTACACGTTTTATGGTGGTATAGGGTTTCTCAGATGGTAGAAGAAATGGGCAGTAGTCTAAGCATTATAGTGTCTTTCTTGATTATTAAATCATATCTGGTCACACAAACTAAGTCCCAAATGTTGATATTAAAGACAGAGTTTACAGACATGCTGGGAAAGGTGTTGTAAAGCCACCAAATGATCTTTTTCAGATCCCTTTTAGAAAACCCTCTCCCAAAGGAAACTAAAAACTACTTAAAATGTTTATAAAAGTCCTGTTGCTCCTTTGTAATTGTTGTTCCCATGGATTTCTCCTTTATCCTTGTCCCCATAAGCTTCCCCCCATTCAGCACTAGGACTGGTCTGGTACTCCAGTGACCGTTGTATCATCAGGGCCTCAGGGCCTTTAGAGTTGCTGCCCCACATTAGGTGCCATTTGTTGCAGCAAGGGGCACAACAGGATTTAGTTTTATCTAATATTCCTTACGCTTATTCCTTGATAATCTATCATGTTCTCTTCTGTGATTAACAAATATTCTTTGGAAGTGGCACACAACATTAACCTTGCCCTACTTTTGAGGTGTCAATAATTGACAGAAGTCTGTCTTGCATCTCTTTTGAAACCATTCTTTATTCATATCCAAGCTGTAGAAGTTGCACTCAGAGCTGAGCTTCACTCAGAGCACAGTATCCTGCTTTTGACACTGACAGACACTAATTCTTTGAAAGAACATTCACCAGGACTTAAAAGAAGCAGATATGGAATAGCTTGCTGCCTACAGAATGACTCTTTTCCCCTTTTAATTCAGAGCAGATTTAGGTCTCCTGCCACGTTATTATCTTATTTTCTTGATACGATGGCAGCTTTTGATGGTAGAATAATTTCTAAACACATAAACTGTTTCTTGGAGTCCTAAGGCCCTGTCTGTGTACAGGGCACATCCAACCACACTGGGACACTCACAAAGGCATCCCACTGCCTTTGTCAGGCAGGACATCTTCTGCCAGTCAATCTGACCAGCCCCACAGACCTGGCTTCAGCCTGGCAAGTGCCCTCCTGCCGATCAGGGGAATGGCTGGAACGACAAATGACTGGCTGGCTTTCAACAAGCCAAGTAATATTTACCCAGAACACAAGTATTCAAGGTGGAAATATTAGTCTCAAATCAGTTTACAGTATCTTATGTTTTAGGTGTTCCTCTTTTGCACAGAAGCAGCTGAAGTCCACAGTGCTTCACATCCTCCCTGATAAGTCTATGGCTGTTGGTCAGGGTCTCATTTCTATCCATTCCTGGAAAGTGATCCTGATGTAAATGCTACATTCCTTGTAGCTTCTTCAGTACTACTCTGTTCTCCAGGGCCAGCACAAGGCCTCAGAAGCTGCATTTACCTGCATTGCTTACTTAAGAGAAATTCCCTTAATACAACCTGTCAGACCACTGAAAAGCCCAAGTGTGTAAGCTGAGGTCACATGGAGGAAAACATCTAGCAGTAGATGTTTCCCTGTCGATGTGAGGAGCGCACTGCAGTGCCTGAGTGCTGCCAGCCTGTCTTTGAGTGACACCAGCTCACATCCAGCCTCTGTCCTGACTCTCCAAGGGGCTTGGTATGTTTAGCATGTTGACTAGAGCCCTACCTACCATGTAGGAGTGGTATGTCAGTAGTGGGAGACAGGAAGAGGGTAGTAAATGCCATCTGGGAAGCACTGGAAGACACAATCTGAAAGGACTGGTTTTACTCTGAACACTCTAGGCTAGATAAGCCAATTTGGAAAGTCCTTGGCTTCTGCAATATGAAAATTATTCTGGAATTAGAATAAGTAAACACTTGGACTCACAAAATTACTGATGGTTTCCACTGAGTTAGAAGGGATTTGTTAAGTTTCTTTTTATTATTTTCTTAATCTATGTGCTACTAGAAGAAAATTTTATTTAAATATCAAGGTCCAATATTCCTCTGAGGCATAGAGGTCTAGCACAGCTGGATTATTTAGCACTCCCTCTCTCTTTGCTTGATCAATATTTACCTCTAATAATAAGTTAACTATTTCTTCTGGTAAATCTATTTACAACATCACTTTCATGAACTTTCATCAGGCTGAATATATATAGCACTCATAAGCTGAGAATCACATTTCCTCATGTGTATTATCCATAACAATGTGAAACTTTGTTTTCAGGCTCCTGCCCTCACTATTTTGGAATCAAAGCGTGATTCAGGGCTCACTAAATAACTCTCCCATCCTGTGACTGGGAAGAGAATCATCAATTTCAAACCTAGAGAAAAGGCCACTTTCAGGATTGTGCCTCAATAGGGAAGAGGAGAGGAAGAAAACAAAGCTATGAGTCATAATGTAAGTGATTTTAACATTGATGAACAGTCTACTCAATTTTTGAAAAATTACCATCACCATTTGACACTTCAAGGAGGTAATGTAGGAATAAGTGGGTTTAAGTCTAACTTAATCATGAAGAGGCCATATTGTTTCCACATTTCTGGTGTATTATTCGAAAGTCTTATGCTGAATTCTGAGAGCTCATACCAAGTTCTATAGAAAAGGAGGTTCTACAACACCTTCCTGGAATAAGTTCTACATTAGCGTACTTTACTTGGGTACTCCAGCTTTGCCCAGAGAACAGCACAAGTCCACAAACAGTTTAAGATTGTTACTTCCAGTGAGTGTGAGTCTACCTTCACTAGCTCCAGTCACAATTCTGGGCAACCCAGTATAAGAAAGATGTGGATTTACTGGATTAGGACCAGCCCAAAGTCACAAAGTCACATCTAAGGAGCTGGAACATCTGTCATATGTGGAGAGGATGAAAGAGCTGGAGCTGTTCAGCCTACAGAAGAAACAGTAGATATACAGCAAAGCACATGAAATTCCATGTTCTGTATTCCATCAAGGATACACCATTTAAACTGTGAAGGTGGTAAAACACAGAAACAGGTTGTGGAGCTATTAAAAACCTAACTGGACAAAGCCCTGAGCTGCCCCTGCTTAAGCAGAGTGGCTTGACTAATAGACCTCAAGAGATCCCTTCTAACCTACACTACTCTATCATCAACACCATAATCTGCAGCAGCAACACTGTACAGTCATTTTATTACTGCTATGTTCCTGAACAGGTAACATTATTTTTGGATGGTCTGTAGTTTTCATTGGGCTACAAGTAACTCAAATTAGTTCCAATTGATTGCCCTCTAGTTGGGGTTAACATGAAAAAATAAGGTCAAAGATAGTTTCAGCAATAGAACAAACATGACATCTGCTTTAGTGGTCAGCTGAAGTGTTTGCAACCAGTCATACAAAGGGCAAATCCTCTTTCCAGTAACTTGCTGTGCTAAAAGAGATAATCCCTGCATTGCCTGTGATTGCTTTCAGTTCAGTTCTCTGCTTAGGAGTAGAAGGATCCATGTAAAATAATTATTGTGAGAAAGTACAAACTGTGCTAGACTTTGAGAATGTGTACTAAAATTTGTTATTTTTATTTTTCTCCCTTAGAATGCAAATGAATACATTCCTGAGACACTGAGTAACTAAACAAGCAAATGAATTTCTGAAGGTGACAAAATTTTACCTTGCTTTCAAACAATAATGTGCACATACTTCCAGGTAAACTTTTTCTGTACTTTTACTCCAGAGCACTGCACTGTGTCTCAAGCAGGGTCTTTGAAGGACTTTTTAACACAGAAGGTAACTGATCCATCTCAGGTTGGAAAGAGAAATGTCACTTTTCAGCTTCTACTGGGGATAGAAATCTCTATAGACAACTCAGGAAAGAGGGATTCTTACCTCACTAGCTGGACTTCATCATCTGTGGACTCCTCATCTCCTTTCTCATCAGAATAATGCTTGATTATGGTAAGAGATCAGCAGTGCAAGGTGTAAGTGGACAACTTTCTGAAATGAATGCATATCTAATTTCAGCTACTAACTCATCACCTTTCAAACATTTGCAAAGTATGATATATCAAGAACACAAAGCTACTTTCATTTCTTTAATATTGTGGTAAAAAAGTCAGAACTCTCCAGTGATTTTTCTGTTTCTTTAGAGGAAAAACAGCAGCGTATTACTGGAAGCCTGTACACAAGCAGAGATTAAAAAGTGAAAGAGACTTAGTAAATTTAGCAAATTCTTAATAAAAGTAGAAATTTCAAAATGGACAATACTCAGCAGGAAATATTTTAGTATGGAGGAGGAGATGTACACAGTGTGGTGAATACATTCTGTAATGTTTCTGCACATATTTTGCAATGATAAAAAGAGAATGTTCACCACTTGAGGAGACTCTACGTTTTTCATGCAAGGCGCAGAAGGAAGTGCTACAGCATCCTCTCCTGTTGGGAAACACAGCAATGAGGAGAACAGGATAAGGGGAAAAGGTCATCTGAAAAGAGACAGCAGTACCAGAACTCTGTGTCTCTCTCTCAGGCATACACCAAGCCTACAACTCTGCCTGCACACAGACCAGGGCTGTCTCTTGAATATCTCAGATTTCACTTAGCCACAACTGGAGACTGTGACTCTGTAAGTCCAACCAACCCCTTCCAGGAGGGATCTGTCTGGGCTGCTGCCATTGCTATGTGAGAGGAAAAAGCAGCCCTCGCAATGTATAGATCAGCAGGAAGAGTGAGAGGGGTGTGAGACAAGGCTGGCTTGGGTAACTTCTAACAAATTCAGGAGACTACCTGGATGAACAAAAACTCCCTGATCACTCAGACACATAATGAGATTGGTAAAAATGCGAGAAAGCTGCCTGCAGGTAACCTGTCAGACTGACAGTGTAATGTTTGGGGCTGGACCAATACCTTTGCTCTATCTTTAGGTACAAAACCAGGCTGATGCAGACCTACGTTCAACCCCACCCCAACAACCCAGCCAGCTCCTGCAGGCCGCTCCTCTCTTCCTGTGCTCTCTGAATCAGTGGAAACAAAAGGCAGCATTGTCTGGACAAGTGAATCATTTCCCGATGATTCCCAGAAAAGCTCGACAGTGGAACAGAAAACCTATGGATACATTATCTTGTCTTACTTTTTTATCACTTTCTCATTGCATCCCTGCAGAAGTGCAGTGATTATTTAACACATAGAGACTGGGGGGAGCTGTCTATTGCTCATGGGTTGCTGTACACTCACAGTTCTGATCTTACACAGGTACTTAAAACCCTTGGAAAAAATTGATCTATCTTTGCTAAGAAAAATACTTACTGATAAAGATGATGTTGCAAAAGCCTTGAGATTACAGCAAATATTTTGGATAAATATCAGAAAATTTGTAGTTCAAGCAACTTATGTCTTCCTACAATTTTATCAGGATAGACAGAATCGTCCAAAATATGTTCAAAACAAGTATTTTACTTCAACAACCAAAGATTTTTTCCTTTCTGCATTAGATAATGACGAAAATATCAAAACCTAAAATAGGACAGAGCTTGGTCTTTTTACTCAGTGTGCTTCCAATTTTTACTTTGTTTTTCATTCTGCTAGCAAAGCAGTTGCACCCAACCCCAGAAATGTTTCTCTTGAAGTGCAATTGTACTTCTCTCATCCCCTAAGTCATTCAATGTCACTTACAGCAAACAGGAAGAGGGAACTGCTCTCAAAATACCACTGCAGTTTGTCACTGGGACTTGCTGGTATTTTGAAATCAACAACAACAAAGAGTTCTATAAATGTAATGACAAAATAGGTGTGGACCCTTTACAGTGTCACAGTCAGCATTTGCTGGATGGATGAAGTCAGTAATATGGCAGCATCTGTGAAAAGCTGGAGGCTCTCTACTAATTTCAGCTCCTGAAAGTATGCAGAAACTAACAAAAGCAAATAAATGAAGGAACAGTGGCTGCTTGAAAGTCTTAATATCTCTTAGAGACTGTTATGCCATCTGTATCTCCTGAAAACAATGTTGGAAAGAGAAGGGCAGGCAGAAATAAACATTTTCACAATATCATGATTGTCGGCGTACCAAGAACTCAAAACCAGAAACCTCTTAAGAACAACTCACCAGACAGGAATCTTGAATCATTTCAGGCTTCCCTTGATGAAGCAGTAAAAATACTGATACTGACCTTGAAAGTCCCATCTCTGGGAAGCTGGAGGCATTTCACATTATTTTCTCCTATGCTGAGAAGAAGGCAAATCCAGGAATCCTGACAGTGTGAGCTCTGGTCTTCATATGAATTAAATCTCAAATCACCAAAATTAATGAATAATTTTGCATTGGTGAAAACAGAAATTCAACTCGTTTTGTATTAGTTCATTTCACCGTGAAGAGAATTCCTCCAGCTATGACACTTTGCTCGGTGCCATCTCTGTCACTTTGGAAACTGCACCATTATGAGTAAATACCTCTGGTTGCTTGCTGCTGATGGACACATCTTGTCTATCCAGTGTATCAGGCACTTAGTAACACCTCCCCAAAGCTAAAATGAGCACATTACTAGAAAAGATAGGGTTTTTTTCCATTTTGTGTGTACAGAAGCAATGCGAAAAAGATGGTGCAGTTTTGCTCTGCTCTTTCTATTGACCACCATGTCTGGTTATCAGAGTTGGAACATGGAGAACAACACTGCTGCTGGGAACTGCATTTTGATACAGATCACCCTTCCAGAACATGTTGCCATGGCTATTTTAGGCTCTCTGGCACCTGAGAAAAGGAAAAGGGCCAACACGCCTCCGCTTCCCAGTGCCGCAAGAGGAGAGTCTGAAGCCAAAGGCAAACCCTGTTGCTCTCCCTGAAGAACTTCTTCCAACTGATTCTCATTCTAATTGTGCCTGGTTGTTGTTAATTTTTAATTAATTTTGTAGTTTACATCTGTCTAACATCAACCAAATGTTCCTTCCCCTTCTTCTGCACTTTAAACCGCTAAACAAAAGACACTGCTTTGTTCTCTGGGCCTGCAACTACTGCAGAGAAGCACAAGACAGAGATAAAGGAAATAAAATATTAATAACTAGCTTTATAAATGGCCTCCAGGTCTCTGGACCTAGCTCTTTGCTTTCTATGGGCAAACTAAGTTTGCAGCTGCCTACCACAGTTACCTGGGGATTGCACCCTGAGCTTCAAGCCACTGGAAGCAACCACCATTAAAGACATGCCTGCTGGTCTGAACACAGCATCCCCCCCAAAAAGGATGTGAAGGAAAGGCTGAGGCCAAGGATTGAGCTGTCAGTTCAAGGATTGCACCATGGGGCAGGGGCACACATTTCAGCTGAAGTCCCTGAGAATCCCAGCTGGACAGAAGTGTCACCTCATGCTGCGTGTGGCACACACACAGCACAGACACATTGTCTGGCAACACAGGGGTGGAGCTGCACTTGTGTAAGAGCTTCAGAAACCACCAGAGAGGTGAAAGGAGCAAAGAACAGAGGAGATTAAACCACTCTTACCTATCTATTTTACTTTCTCCATAGCCTGTATAAATTCAAAGAACACCTGAAAAACTTCTTAAGCACCTCAGACTATTGCTTAATTCAGGAAGGAGGAAGAACAGCTAGCAATCCAAATGTGAGATTACTTTTATTTTGAGAAGCAGATCGTTCAGAATCCCTTTCTCCTTAAGCACAAAAGGACAAATAAATAATTTTCTTGCTCATAAATTCAAGGCAATTTTCTATTCTCTTAATCTCATAATGACTTCCACACTCCAGCTTCCCTGGTTTTTTAGTCTGGTACACAAAGATTTACCCCTTTTTCCTCTTGCCTCTGAAATAAGTTGCAAGAACTATCTCAGTCCATTGGCATTAATTCTTCCTGAAAATTTCTCCTTAATCAAAAGAATCCAGTGTATTAGCTATACAAGTTAATTTGTTAGCTGGTATTTTCAATAGGTTTTTTTTTTTAATATATATTATACTTCCTCTAACCTCCTTCACCATACCAATGCACTGGGGACACTGAGTTTCAGAGGTGGGCCGGCTGTGGAACTGGCTAAGTTCTGTCATCTGGACAAAATACAAGCAATTCTTTAGTGAATTTATGTTGGATTTACCAGTACTGGTTTCCGTTGTGATTAGAGTGGTTGGTGCTGGAAAGTCACTGCTGGAGCCATGGGGCAACAACATAAAGGTTTAGACACTGATCCTTTTGTCACACTCTGACAGACCAGCCTCACATATTTCTGGGGACAGAAGACTTCTACAGCAAAAATTCAGAAAAGAAAAAAAAAAAAAAATTAAAAGAACCCAACAACAACAAACTAACAAAACCCCCTGAGGATTTCCCCCAAAAAAGAATGAAAACAAAACCAAACCAACCAATGAAAACCACCCAAGTTCTTAAACGTTCTTCTTAATCCACTTTAGTTTCCTTGAAAGCAATTGTGATATCTAATGATACGTTTAGTGAAGTCACAAAGGATGTCATGAAGAGAATTTTTAAGAAGTCTCAAATTTCAAAATGCTGAAGTAAATGTGCATATCTGCAAACAGGTCCTGTGCCTGCTCAGGGCTCCCTGGGGGCCTCCTAGTGGGACCATCCAGTACTTGTAGATGAGATGAAGGGGCTTCATGTTTTTAAGAAGGCTTCTCTTTAAAAGCTTTTATTTGCTTGCTAAGTAACACATTTATCTAATGTTATCCCTGCTGAAACTGATGTGGATGGAATCAGGCAGACAGCACATGTTACATTACATTATGAGTCTTAACATTTCACTAATTGCATTGACCTACTTCTGTGAATCACAGATTATTCTCCTGCTCATAAAGCACATCTGTTTCCTTTACGTAGTTGTTCATGCAATGTGATACAATTGCAAGGGCCCACACGGGGTGAAACCTTGTGATTTATTTATCCAATGCAAGCAGATAGCGTTTCCAGCTTTCATCAATACTTTGACCACGTGAACAAAATGAGGAACAAAGCTCTCTTATTTTCTGCAACTTGTACAGCTACTTATTTCTTAACTTTTCCTTCCCTTTTAAACAAAGATAACAGAACTTTAATTGAAATTAGAAAAGCAGCTGATGAGCTCTGACTTGGCCATGTGGTTTTTCATTGCCATGACAAGCTTCTGCAGGCTGTAATGGGAAACAAAGCTTCAGTATAGAGACCTCAAATGGATAGGGATCAGCCATCAGCTGACATACCAAGGACCTCCATTCAGTATCTCTGTGCTGAACTGCATCTTCTGAATAGATGAGTTTTCTGGCTATTCATCAGGAGTTTTTACTTAAGTGTCACGTATGCATGCAACTCCCTATGAGTTGGGAAGTGCATCATTGCTCCTCTGCTAAGGTAGAAAAGCTACCAGGATAAATGCATTCTATAGGGTAACTGGCTTTTTAAACCTTGTACAGTTTTTCAATAATAGCAGTGCTAAGATAAAGCAAATAGTCAGCCAGCTGGCTCAGGACTGAGCATTACATACAGGAAATGCTGAGGCACACGCTCTAGAAAAGGTCATTCCAAATCCTCCGACTAAACGAGCCATTATGATGCTGCCCAAATTCTCAGTGGCAAAACCAACACCTGAGATGGGACCCCACAAGTCCTTCTGCCAGCTTCACTGGATTTTGGATCAGGGTCTTTCATACAAAACCACCTGTAGCTGTGAACCTTCCTACTTAGGAGTAAAGCCAAGAGACCACTTCTGAACATGAAGAACTGTGTCTAACAGACAGCTCCTTATGGCTTTCCATGTAGTAACTTGAAGATGGATCTTTCAGCTGATGCTTTTCACTGTACACACAAAAGCTCCCTGCTGCCAGGAGCACAAGAAAAGTAAAGTTATCAGCTAAATTTAAAACCCCAAAATTGAAGGCTTGTCTGCAGCTGATTGCTTCTCTAAGCTGCTCTGCTTCAAAAGCAAATCTCATTATTGCTTGTGTAATGATCTCATTGATCATTAAGCATGGCCTTTTACGAGAGCTACAGTAACACTGGGAGGATATTTGATTAAGAATGGATAATTTCATTTAAATGCATTTATGACTTCTGTATATTTTTAACAAAAAATATCTTAAAAAATGTAATGGAAAATGCACGAGCAGAACAAGCTGCATGTGTAGAAGCATGCTTATTGACACAGATGGTGTTTTCAAATACACTAACCTCTTTTTTATATTTCAAATCAAAAAAAAAAAAAAAAAGGCAACACAAACATTAATTCCCAATAGACTTTAAATGTGTCAACTTTTCAGAAAAGAAATACCTGGTATTTTCAATAGTCCCCACAGCATTACAAACACAAAAGCGTTTGTAAACTTAAGCTGCAAAAGTCCAACATTAGGTCTTTCTGAAGGTACACTTTTCTGGCTGAATTTACTGCTTGCTAAAAGAGAAGGCAAATTGCTGGGCTCTATTATATATAAACATAAAAGACCAAGTGCCTTTGCTGTATTTTCAGGTCTAGCATTTTGCAGGCCTAATACCTCTCCTTAAGTGGCTTAAAAATGATAACTTGCAATTATTCACTTCCTGTATCTTACACTAAATGTTAGTTTGCACAAATCTCTAATAGCAGCATAGTGTTGTAATTAAAAAAAAACAACAAACACAAAACACACAGGGCAGAGGTAGGTGAGGAAATTACTAAGGAAATGAACATGATGACTATATCTAAGTTTACAGTCAAAATTCTGATTTGAGTGGATTTATTCTCTTGAACACACAAGTAGGTGCATTAACTGCAGGTTACTAGTCTTGATAAGATGGTTACGTTTTGTGAAGTGCAAAAATCAACTCACCATAAAAAATGGTTGAAATTTCCTTCCCAGCAGGGAAAAAGCCACACTGTGGCAATGTGCTTCCTCCCATTCCAGCTCTGGCGAGCTGGCCTCTTACTGCTCCCAATGCAAGATGTCAGGAATTGTGGCTGCTTCTCCTGGCACATGCAGTAAGCAAGCTATCTCACCACAGAGCCCTGCAACAGAACATGGGCAACTTCATGAGATGCTACGTTTTGTTTCAAACCTTCTTCTTAACTATCAGTTCCCTGGCACAAGGTGGAGCAGCAGCTGGGACAGAAGATGTGGGGAAGATCTGGCCACAAGTCAATAGGCAGAGTGATCCCTCAACACTTAGGAGTCACAGGGCAGGAGATCTGCCTGCAGTGTACTGATCCCCTAATAGCCTGTGAATACCCTGGGAAGGACATCTGCTGAAACAAATCTTGGATTTAAATTTAATCCATGTGAGTTCCTCTGCATTTATTTAGGGCTTTCAAACCATGAGGAGAGCCTCCATGCTGACCAAGAAAGGAAATGTGTCCTCACTTTCCTGTATAACACACACAGAAAACATCCTGACAATGTCCTCACTTCCCTGTATAAAACAGACAGAAAACATCCTTTCACTGACTCTGTGACTCCCCACAATTGCCAGGTACATGCCGGCAGAGTTGTTGTCCATGGGGCTCAGCTGACCACGAGAAACTTGGATGTTGCAAAAGACAAATGGGCAAGAAGTCAACTGCTGAATCCTGAAACCTGATTGCAGCTCCTTCTATTAAAGTGCCCCTGCTGCCGTTCCCAGGAAAGGTATTGGACATGAATGGAGGTCTCTGCATCCAGGTTTTATACATGCTTCATTTAATACATCATGATCTTGACTGGTTTGCTCTCCCATCCCAGAAGTTTCCAGAAGCTGGACAGAGGTGATAGATACTTTAGGCAAAGAGCCTCATGTAACAGATGGATACACAGTCCCAGCCTGACTGCTTCATCAAGCACTTCAGCCAATTTTTCATGCTGTTGTCAGTAGTTGCAGGCCAAAAGGGCAACAGAAAGGGAGAGCTTAATCTGCAAGAAATCATCAGCAAATGAAACCAAGGTTAGATCAGGTCAGTGCATTACTAACTTCATTATTTTGAAAATGCATATACAAATCACTTCTCATTTTAGAAAGCAGAGGAATTTATTTGATAATTCACATGCATTGAACCAAGTTTGGCATAAAGGAAGAATTACGTTTCTTTAGGGAAGCCTACTTCCTGATCATGTAAAGAGCTGTACTCAGCTTGGGCACCAGGTGCTCCTGAGCACAAGCCCTGTAAATCCCACTGTTTGCATACCCACACTCCTGCCAGACCCTAAGGTGCTCAGAGCAGCAGTAGGTAAGGGAATAATGCTTGCCCATGATGCATGGCCTGAGTACAACTTCCACTGGACAGGGAGTGAGTTACCCATTTGAAACAGGAAGTGAAAAATTTGGTCCCAGCACACTCCTGTCACAGGTTGAAAATCTTTTCTCACTGATCTATATTAAAGATTTCCTACAGCAAGGTGAAAGAGAGGGTTTCAGTACCTTGTCAGTCATTGAAGGTACAGTTGTAGCACAAAGGGGTACTTGGGTTTCATACCAACTCAATGAATGGGAGTCTTGGAGCAAAAGTACAGTTTTAACTCATTAAACTTCCTACAGAGAAAGAAAAGGTTGGATTACTAGTGTGCTTACTAATGCTTTATCATGCATTTTTACTGGTTACCTTGCCAGGGGGTTAGGAGTAAACTGCTGTCTGCTAAAAACAGCTCCTTGAGAATAATACCTTCTGCTTCCCTTTGAGAAGGCTGAGAACCAGGATCCCACAACATGCTGCTGTGTTCCACTCTCTGCTCCAAACTAAAAGAAATAAAAGTTCCTAGTTGCTCAAAATTTGCAAACGTTTATAAATTTATTTCAAATTCTGTTTGCTTTAGAACCATAAACATTCCTTCAGTTTTCTGCTAATGAAATGAGGAAAAGTCTCAAACTGCTTCTCTGCAACTGAAGGAACTGTTTTACCCCACAGAGGCTGCTTTATCAAAAGTCAACAATTAAAAACTGATAAAATATGTTATTGGAGCCCTTTAAACTTTACTTTTTGGGATGCACTCAAAACCACCACCTCCAAAGTGACTTTCTGGAGACAAGGAATATTAAAGCATAAATCTGCAGCTAAAGCACACCTAAAAGCATGGAAGTTCCACCACCAAGCTATGCCTCAGCAATTTGGCTTATCACTCAGTCTACATCAGTCCCAATTCAAAGATATTTTGGGGTTCTTTTTGTAAATTTTTTCTTAGCTGTAAAGGCTGCTGGTTTGTGAAAACTCAGCTGTTGACATCAGGGAAAATCACATGAAATTACATGAAAATGAGCTGACCTGCAGCAAATGATTAAGAGTGTGATTTATTACCTCCTCATGCCAGGAGAGAGTGCTTTGGTTAGCACCACTCCCTGCACCTGCAGGAGACACACACACAATAGTCTGTTGATAAAACGTGAAGAAAGCCTCAGAGCACATTTGTGTGGTACACATCAGACTGCAGCATTAAAAAACTTTGCTCCAGTTCTGCTGCATTTTGGTCCCATGCTCAGACAAGAGCAAAGCAGAGCAACGCCGAGTGGACTTTACTAAGGCCAAAGTACAACGGAAAGGAAAATGAATAAACAAGCAGAAAAGCACAATATCCACTACAGATGAGAAGCAGCAACATGACAGCTGTAACTACTAACGTGGTTATTCATGGACAGTTTGCACAAATCCTTTTTCACTGATAGCAAAAAAAAAAAAACACTCACCAAAACCCCAAACCCACCAACTTAAATCACACTTGGTTCTTTATGTAAACAGCTTTGAAGTTGGGAGGTTTTTTGGTGCTGTTGGGTTTTGGAGTGCTTTTGTTGGTTTTATATCTGACTCTCCATTTGCAGCTATTTGAGGCATTGCTCTATAACTGGATCCAGACAGTGCAAGCTTCACATTAGTTAGAAATAATCTACAAAAGACATTACTTGGCTTGTTCAACACATTTTACATTTAGAAAAAACCCCACCCATCATCTGACTCAACTCCTCAGCGCCCGTCTTTATTATTATTTAGATCCAAATACCACTTTATCACTTTAAATTTGCTTTGAACGCAAGCCAAGAAATTCCAGCACTCATCATTGCTCTGCTAGCCCAGAGTCAGCCAACTTGCTTTTTATCAGGCATGATGCATACGCCGTGTGTGAGACGGGGGAGGAGCAGGAGAGCCGCTGATGGGGGGGAGCGGGGTGTATATTAAGAGCCCGTGCTGGAGCGCGGCTGCTTTTGGGGGTCGGCACTCGCAGGGACTGCCGTGCACACAGGAGGGGACCGCGGAGCGCCGCACCGCAGTGAGTTCTCTCTCAGCTCTGCAGCCCGGCTCCTCTCTCTCCCCTCGCTGCTTCTCATTCTACTCTGCCCTCCCTAGGCTACCGCTACAGTGCTCGTGTGGGAGGTGACTCTGTCAAATAGTGCTGCGTGTAGAGCAAGTCCTGAGAGTTTAATTTTTAGAGATTTGTTCGGTTTATTGAGGCTGACTCTCTGAGTGGTGCTGCAGGCAGAGGAGCTCCATACGGTGGCTGCAAGTGTAACTCAAGTACCCCATCTGTGCACCTTCTTTGCTACTACAGGCATCCTTAAACTGTGCCCGCTGCGCATAGGACATCTGTACAATCACATGCACGGCTAAAACCAGACTTCACTCAAAATTATGAACTGCTTTACCAGAGGCAAAAAGGCTGATCACTGGCCTGCTGTCGAAGCAAGCCCCTGCTCCTCGTCAGTGCCTTGCACAGTTAGTGCTGAGCTACTTGGGTAATCAGGCTACGTGTCAGGGTAGTTGGCAAAGAAAAGACAACCTCGGAAGTGAAGAAATAGGAGTGAGGAGGCTCTGGGCATTCTTCGAGGAGTTTTCAGTAAGTGAAAACCCATTTCAAGCCAATATTCCATTACATATGAAGGCTGACTAAAATGCCTTCACTTACAGAACCAAGCTAAATCTAGGCTAATGTCAGAGAAGTTTGATTAATTTTAAGCAGCACCAAGCAATTATTCCAGGTAATTTTTGTGCGCTCTTCTGTTAATTTTTCAAATACCTTTGTTCTAAACCAATGGATTAACATACTCTGGGGTCCTAATTCCCACCATCATTCTATAGAGAAAAAACTTCCTGCATCTGCTTCCACTCACTCAATTTTTGTCCTTATCAAAAGTCGAAGTTTTTTTGTAATTTGTCTTTTACTTCAAAATGATACTCTAAATAGCCATTGAGGACTTTTTTCTTTCATTCTAACTGCTGTCATTTTCCTATATACATAATCCTCCCACACAAATTTCCTCTGTTAAAAGCCATCTCTTGTTCCCTGTCCATTTCAGACTATGCAAGCAAACAAACCGTAGCTATAAAATAACTTTCCTGGGCTTCTGTACTCCTTACAACTGTTTGTAAACACTGGTACTTTTATACTCAAAACTTGCAATGTCTGTAAAGAAAAAAAAGACACAGAGGTCTTTTTCAAGTTTACTTTTGTTCAGTCTTTTGTTTTATTTAATCTAAAATAGAATCCACCTCTTCTCCCTAAAAATGCGCACATTGTGTAAATTACTCCCTGCTGCAGACGCACACACGCCCAGGCACACAGTCAAATCTATTTGTATAGAAATAAGACGGAAACTCTCCAAATTTTAAGCTGAAAATATACACAAAGTAATTCTTAAAAGTTCTGGGTCTGTGCACAAGCAAGCATGTTAGCCAGTGCAGCACGCTCCTGTGCCACTGCCCAACGTGCTCTGCTGCTCTGAGGGTTTGCTCATAACATTTCTCATTGCTGTCTGTCCTGCACTGCTTCTCCTGAGCAGCTGGAAGGCAGAAGCAGTTGAAGTTTGTGCTCATTTTCAACACAGCTTGGATCGAAATCTCACCAGAAAGTAATTACACTGCCCAGGAGCCACTGACGTTGCTGGTGTTGGGGGCTAGCAGGGGGCAACAGAAAAGGCTTATTCACACCTGCTGGAGACTTATCATATATGCTGCAAATCTCAAACTGGTGATTTTTTTTTTTACCTTTTTAACAGTTAGTCCAAGAAGCGTGAGGAAAAAGAAAGAAAGGGGAAAAAAATCAGTCAAATCCCGCATAAACATTTCTAAGTGACACCACTTTGAAGAACCTTGTCTAATCTCGAGGCAATCTGCTAAAAATTGCACAAAGCAAGCTACAACAATGAACTGAGAAACACCGAAAAGCTTACTTTTGAATCTCTTTAGAAGTAACTAAAAATAGTTGGGACTTAGTAAAGAATGAGCCTGAAAAGAGAGAAAACAAGGAAGTTCAGTGATACTGAACAGTGATACTGGGCAAAGGTGTACTATGATGTTTATTTGTAGGAGATACAAAGGGGAAAGGCAAACAAAGGTTGAAGCTGTCTCACAGCTTAGTTTAGTTGATGTGTGACAAAAAAGAATGTGTGATGTGTAACTATGTCTCAGCCAAAGGACAATTTTTCTGTGCCTGGCACACAGCAATTGGGACTGCCCTGGAGCCAGATTAGCTGGGGGTTCCATGAGAAACTGGCTGCAAAGCATCTCTCAGAAAGTACCTTCTACTTAAATATAGGAACACACAGATTAGGGTTTCACATACTGAGCAGTTTGTGACTGTAACTCAAGAGTCCTGCACATTCCTCACTTATGGCCAAATCTAGGTGGTCCCCAGGCTTCTGGCTAGGTGTTGCTCAGAACAGTAGGTCCACCTTTGGCACCGCTGATCCTCTCAAGGAGACTGGCAATGCCTGAAGAGCACTTTAGCAAGGTTCTGGATCTGCTTAGGCTCACTATGGCTAAGAAAATAATTTCAGAATATCTGAAAATATTTGAGATCTGTGCCCCAGCCCATTGTACTGCTGCCTCCAGGGCATGGTGGCCTGTGCCAGGTACTGCAGGGCACAGCAGGACACTAGGAATTTGTGACCAGGACATGTAGTGGGTGGTACTGGAGAACTCTGCAAAGTGAACAAAAACCTTCCTCAGTCAAACCTGTGCCTGCTACAGGGATCATACACAGTGCTTAAAAGCTATCTAATTCTTTCATGCCTATAATTTTGGGGTGTTTTTAGCCAACTATACAGTAGATCCATGGTATGTAACAGGTCAAGAGCAAAGTAGTTTAGACAAGCAGGGGGAAGGATTTGGTTCTTGTACTCCCCCTTGCACATATACACACACTCACAACCCACACAAGGCTGGGATAGAAAAAAAATACCGCTTTTTCACATCCAAAGAAAAATGTTAGGCAGGCAAGACAGTTGTTATACAAATTATTGTGCTGGACAAGCTTTAGAGGTCAGAAAATGGATGTGATTCATCCTGGCAAAAGCAGCTGGCTTTGGAGAGTCAACTAAACAATACAGAACAACGCTGCTCACAACTGAGGCCTGATCTTTGTAGTAATATTATGAGGTCATGCTGATTCATCTGAAGAATGCAGAGAAAGATGCAAGGCATGAATTTTACAGGAATGACATGGGGCTGGCAAGCGTTAAGATTATTTAGGCTTTTTTTCTACCACAAAATGCTTCTGGGAATTCTTAAAACATCTTATGTGGAAATAAAATACTTGAGTGTTTTTTCCTGAGAAATTATCCTAATCACTCTTTTGCCTGCATCTTTCCTAAGATCTCCTGCAATTTTATTTACCAGTATTTCATGGTCTTGGGTGTGCAATTTATTAATCTAAAAGAAGTTGCACAGAACAGTTTCAAAAGTTATCTGCATAAAACTTGGGACCAAGTAGATGCAAATCCAAAGCTTGAGGATTAGGCAGGAAGCAGTCACCCCAGATGCTCAGGTCCTAAAGGGAAGGGTGTGGCAAGCCATGCAGGCTGAGCTGCTGAGGTGGCTGAGTAAAGCTCATCAATGGTGTCCATCACCATTTCCCTGCCTCCTTAATCCTGCTGACATGTGAGAATTGTGTCATTCACTTCAGTTCAAAGAAAAGGGGTGAACTTCAGATAGCTGCCCAGATTATGATCAGTTTGATTGCCGTTGCCGGAGGGAAACCCACTGGACTCTTGGCATTTTCCTTCGACAAGTCTGGACAGTGGACACTCATTCACTGCTCACTCACACTGGACTCCCACTTAAAAAAACCCCAACCCTTTCATATGTTTCTTATCTTCCTCTTCACTAATACGTTGTGGTTACTTTTCTAAAAAAATTAGCAAAAAAAATCCAAATGGGGTTTTTTTCCTGTGTTCTTCAAGGATTTTTTTGAGTTCTGATTTTCTACATCAGCAAAACTAGCCTAAAGCTTCCTCAGAGAGATAATTGCTTTAAGGTCTCCTACAGTTCCTTTTTTTTTTTCTTTTAAGCCCACGTATTGACAGATCAGGTTTTGCTCAGACAGTAGAGCTTTACTCATCAGGTAACTTAAAATAACCATTAGTACTACTCAATACTCTCACAGTAAGGCCTTAAAACATCTTCTCATTTTAGGATGCTGATTTCCCCCACAGGTCACAAACAAGCAGCACACCAGGTGCATGCACATGCAAAATCCTTCTAAAAATATTTTAAATTTATATAATGCTCTAAGTGATCCACATGTCTAACCTTAGAAATCATGCTAAGAAGTATCCATTATATAAGGAATTTGTTATTTCAAAAGTTGATCCTACATAAAAAATTCCATAAACATTTACTTCAGATGATTTGTGTATTAAACAGAAAAGGGTGCACGGATTTTTTCTCTTTTCTCTCTAAGGTCCAGATTGCTATCTTAGCAAGAGGTCAAATTCAAATTTTTATTTTCTATAACTGGACCAGAGTGGGAAAAGAGACCATAAATTTTCAGAAAGAGAGCTTATGTCAGATTGAGAGCTGATAGGAAATAGAATTACTTAGTGTTTTTAATTTTATTTTCTGTCAAAACACAGACTGCTATGGAATTCTTCCATTGGAAGACTTGCAGTCTTCCATCAGTCTGCCAAAATTCTCTAATCTTTCTCCCCAAAGGATGGGCAGAAAATTTCTTACTCTCTTTTCTAAAAAAAAAATTAATAAAAACATCTTTTGGAAGAAAAAAAACCCAAACCATCCAATAACCACTATTCTTAGTTTTCAAAGGCTGAAAATATCTCTTAGATCACTAATATTTTTTCACCCAAGATAAAAAAAATGAAGACATTCCTGTAGCAATCAATTTGATCAGTAAGCAGGAAGAGAGCAGCACCACACCTGCAGACAGGGAAAGGCTGCTTCTCAGATGGTTTCTGTCTTTTCAGCACTGCTCAAACAGCAAAATGTAAACATTATACATTTGTCCAAAACAGACCGATATGCTGGTTAAATAAAAAAGGAAGAAGTACTGCTCATGGACATTTTTTATCTTTCCTACCATGTACAGTTTATAAAGTTAACAGCTGTGGAAATTTTTCTTTACTTGCCTTCTACAGTAATAATTTGAGTCTTGCCTCTCTGTTTCCTTCCTCTGAAATGTGAAAATTTAAGCAAATAAAGGCAGAAAAATTCACTTGGACAGTTAAAACGTAATTTTAAAACTGAGGAGGGAGAAAGATGCTTTAATGCTCAGCTCTCCAGTCACAGGGATAAGGAATTCACATATATGAGAAGGGCAAAACTGAACTTACTATTCCTAATGTTTCTCAGGTGAAATAAAACTAAGACTCCTTCCTGGTTAAAGATTTTTCTTTGTAGCCCATAAATAACATAACTCTCCCCAACCCCTAAGGAACAGAACCAAAAATCCATGCTTCATACTCAGAGGAGTCAGGTCACTCCTGAGATTACAGCCTAAGAAAGATTTCTCGTTTAACGTGCTAAGATTCTTTTGTCTGTATATACAGAGACACAGCCAGCTTATCTCCTTTCCTTTTCTAAATTGGGCATCCTAGCTGACATTAGCACAATTTGGCCCTGTCACTGGGAGTAACTCTGAAATCCCAGTGTTACCATTAATGGAGAACATTCAGCTGACACTAATTTAAGGCTTCAAACTGTGTAAGTGGCAGAAATATGTGAGTAATTATAAGAATTGGGTGAAATTGCAGTGCCCTATCCACCCCTGTCAAAAAAATCAGATTGTTTGGTTTTCATCTGCTTCAGAACTTTTTTGATTTTCAGGTTAACTTTGCAGAAAAATTTCATAAAGGGCAGCAAATGCTTGGGAAAAAAAGAAAGAAAGAAAAATGTCCACAAAGCTTCCCACCTTTGGATAGGAAGAGTGCTTAGAGAGGATACAAATTTCAATTCACAAGTCATAAAGCAAGATTCTTCTTGGCAGAGAGATACCTGTCATCTTACATGAGTGGAAGCTGATTTGTTGTTATACTTTTATCCTGTAAAATAATGAAAATGGAATATATAATCAGCTCCAGCAACTCAAGCACTCTGAATTGTTATAAAAGCTTAATCTTACAATAAAATAAAGAGGTATCCATTGACTGAATCATCACTCCTGAATCATTGTCATGCTCTGGCTGCAGTTTAAGAGAGGACAATGACACCTGGCAGACAAAGACCTCCAGCTTCCCCTTTTCTGGCAGGCCCATGACCAAGGCAGCATTGTGTCAGGCACTCATTGTGGTGCTTTCCATAAGTGACTCCTAATTTAATGAAGGACCCTCATGCTGAATAAATATAAATACAGTGCAATGCATCATCTTTTCAAAGCATACTGTTCAAGTCCAAATTTTCAGAAACACCAAGATGAACTTTACCTCAAACCTACAGTTCTTGCTTCCAGGGGGGAACAGCTGGGCATTTTTATATCACCTAACAATGATAACACCTTAAGGCAAGGAAAGACTTAATTTCTTGCAGCACAAAGTACAGTTAAAGGGGACTTTGCACCACAAGCCCTTTGTCAGACTTTGAATGCATGTGAACACGTAGCTCAGCTTAGCTGGCTTTTCTCCTTCTTCACCGCCAGCCCAGGGAAAGCTCTCTGCTGTCATCTCAAATACTAATAACCTTATACGGGAAAATGTAATTGTATGCTGCCTTTTAAAACATTTTTTCTCAGAATTCATGTCATGCCATTGTCATGCTGCCTTTTAAAACGTTTTTTCTCAGAATTCATGTCATGCCATTGTCATGTTCCACTGCAAAGGAATAGCAAAGGGATTCTTTTTAACAGATTTCTTGGCATAAATAAAACACAAGCATGGGAAATATTCACATCTGAGGACTGTTCATCAGTAAAGAAAGATGTGGTCCTACCGAAGGTGGATGGAAAAGGGAACAGAGAGGCAGGGCAGACTGCAGGGCTGAGCAGGGGCAGAAGGAGCCAAACCTCTAGACGAGCCTCCCACCCCCTAGAAATTGAGACAGCAGGCCCTGGTTATAGCGCAGCTAACTGTGTTCATGTGCCAAGACTCTTCCCATTGAGCACTGGCTAGTCGGGGAGAATTTTTCCCAGGCAGCAGGAATTCCACTGCCTGCAGCTCAGTGGTGGAAGTTTTCTCTCCCCTGACTGACTGCCAGGCAAAGTCTCCCCACATCCAGAGCTTCCCACTGTTCCTCTGCCCCCCCCTGCCATGTGTGTCCCAGTTGTCTCCCACATATAGCATGTATTAAAGCTCTAGAGTAATTTTCCACCCCGTGTCAGAAAATGTATTTGTAGCATAAAACCTGGACAATGTTTTGGTATACTGCCAGGCGAAATCCCCTGGGGCCAGAGCTTCCTGCCATTTTCTGAGGGCACTGTCTGCTTCAAGGCCCTAAAATGGCGGCAGTCTCTGTGGAGGCATAAATAAAAGTGAATTGGCTCCTCACATGCATCCAGGTTTTGGTGCTTGTCACCAGCTTGAAGAATATTTTCTTGTATTACCTTGAGGGCTGGATTTTCCAGAAGAGAGATGGAGCACTGTTCCACTAGAGAGCCCAGCAGAGTTTTGGTGCTTAATTTTGCTGAGGCTGAGCACGCAGGACCAAACACTGGCTAGCAGAGGCTGCGTGCTCTGGGTACACACGTGAAAAGCAGCCTGAGCAGCGTCCAGTCTGCCGGTGGTTTTTCGCTTCTCTACTACTGCTATCTAAAACTCAGTATTTCAGTTCGCAGAAAATGCTGGTTCCTTCCTGGGCTCTGTTTTTTAACTCTAATCTTGCTTGAAGTTTTCAAATTGATTGCTCAATCCTCCTTCAACTAGAATAAAAGCACCCCAAGTTCATCAGGAAATACAGTATCTCTGTAAAGCCACAAACAGTTTCAAATAATTTGAAGTCTGTCATAAAATTTTTAGACACTTGTAACTCCACCCTGATTTTTTGACTCATGATTATAATGGTGGATGCCAACTTTACACATACTTAAAATTCTCTCAGATTTCCTGTTTGATTTTGTCACTGAGTGGTTCCAAGTTGAATTTAATCATGAGATTCATTAATCTTCTGTTTAAAGGTATGTTAAAGCCAGTTAAGCTGGCTTTCAGAAAGTCACAGAGGAAAGCTGGAAAATCAGTTAAGCGGGTCAACAACTTTAAAGTATTAAAGCTAATTTAATAGTAAATTTAAAGCTGTCGAATTCATGGCTTTGAAAGCTGGATGCCATGAAACTGGGACTGAAGTGTCAGGAAAATCCACAAATGCCAGAGGTTTATGTCCAAATAGGAGACAGTGGAGTCCTACAACTTTATTCGAATAAAGGGAGAGTATCCAGTGGGGCACATGCCCACGAGGTTTTCCCTCTCGAGGTTTCAGAGGGCACAGCCTCCTTTTACCCTAAACTCCCAGCCACACCTTGCCCCCTTCCCTTCCCCACTGGCTGAGGCACTGGGAAGGTACAGCCTTCCCAAACCACCTACTGCATATTCCCCCCTCGAACCTACTATTTCACCCCAAAGTTCAGTAGTTCAGGCTTGTGCAGCCCCTCTTCTGTTTCAGGAGCCAAGCTCTCTGGGCTCTGCAACAAACCTGCTGCCCAGAGTTGGTAGAGACATTAACACTCATTTCAATGACATTAACACCCACAGCTTCATCCATCAAATTGTTTATAGAGACATGAGCTTTCAGAAGTGCTGTCAACGTAGGACAGGGCAGGTGTACAGGGCTGTCCCAGCCACATATCCATCAGAACAGAAATTGGAAAAACACTGCTTAGATGGCAGGTGTATTGGTGGAAGGTAAATCAGCCCCCTCCTACCTTTATACACATCTGGCTTTGCAATGAACTCACCTGAACTGATTTAAATTAAGATTTAAATTAAAGATTTTAGCACTAAGGTGGCTAAATACCTGCAAGTCTGGACGCTGAGGTCCACCCACCTCCACCATCTTTCAGTATTTTTAAGCCACGACTAACCTAAAAAAAGAGAAATTAATTTAAATAGTTTAAAAGATTTTCCTGCTCTCCACCTCCATAAAAGTCCCCAACATCTTCATCCCAAAAACCAGCTCAAAGACACCCAATAGGTCTTTTTCCCCTAGTAATGGCATTTTTCAGTAATTCAGTAATTCTGAATTTAAATAGTTTTAATTTAAATACTTGAAAGAGTTTTAATTTCTTTCCTCATGATCCTCCTTTATAAAACACACTGGGGAAATGAGGGAAAAAAAGGACAAGGGAAAAAAGACCCTAACAGCTTATTTTGTATGTTTGGCAAAAAGCTATTCTGAACACAAGCATTTCTTTAATTTAGAAACTTAGCTGTAATTGTTTAGGAAGCATTACTCCTGACATTTCACAGTAAATATAAATAAAAAATAAAACCTACAAACATTTACAAAAAGCATGCTTACAGTAAACCTATAAAGGCTTTTAAAACGTCAAGTACTTTTGGTAAACTCCTTGTGGAGTTGGTTTTGGTTGTTCTTGTTCATGGATGGAAAAAAAATCATAAGCTTAAAAGTGCATCACCACTACAAATACTTGATTACTCCTTACGGTGTGTTCATTAAAAATCTGTTTATCTTTGCTTTAGACAATTCAAACAATAGCTTCCGCTGCTTCCTTGACAGACCAAAATATTCCACTATCTACCACTACAGGCAGAGAGACTTGCTGATCATCAGCCAAAATTCCCAATTCTTTATATTACTTCACTACTCTTGGCTGTGTACAGCTCTTTGTGTACAGAGTGCTCCCACTCCAAGAATTAGGCTCTTCCAACACACCTATTGGAATATGTTTAGGCCTTAACCATCTCCAGCTGTCTCTCAACGTAGCTGTCTACTCCCTCACGACTGCACCTTAAAAATCTACTATTCATATGCTTTTAAATGCCTTCATTAGTTGCCAGCAACTCTTTGCTAACACAGGGCTAAGTGGGTTAGAGGCAGCTGGGAAACAGGAGCCATGTGTGAGTGCAGCAAGTTCAAACTGCTGTAAATGTTCATGGAAAAAACTCTATGGGCATTCCTAAAGGAGGGAAACAGACACTACATCAGTAAATCAGACTAAATCAATAGCATTTGCTTGCCTCTAAAAAACTGAGAAGTAAGACTCAAGGTTTGTGTTATTTTGCCCCTTGGCTCCTCAATCACTGTCATGAATCTTAGATAACACCTGCTTCTTTAAAATTGCCATTCTTCACTCTCAAATGACCACACCAAATCAGAAACAGGGACAAAAGGAAAGAAAATCCTGTTAATCTAATCTGATTCTCTCTTTTTACCGTAACTCTGTAGACATATAATCCAAGTTCATAGTATATAATACTATATAGTTTTATCATATATGCAGTAGAGCATACCAAGTAATAAATGTGGGTAAAAAATTTGAAATTGGAGTAGCCAAGCTCTGCCACTTGCCTAAAACATACTTGAAAAAGCTTTCTCTCTTTTTATAGAAAGAAGTGGTTGCACCTGTAATCTGTGAGCTGCATTTGCCAAGCAGCAGACAAATGTGTTTTCCAGAAATTAACACATCTAAAAAAACTAATCACATCCTGGTGCAACGCATTTCACTTGGAGCCTCTCTCTTTAATAGTGTGCAAAGGAACACATTTAATAATTGTAATGGAGCCTCTGTCTGGAAGCACTTTTAGATATCTCCATTGGTAACTTTCCAGCTGTGTTCCTGCTTCTCTGCTAGGCCATCTGAAATGAGAAGTCTCCATTCACAATAATTCACTTCTGAGCCTGCTGTGTGCTGTAGGGCAGCAGATGACTTTCCCAATGAATTAAGCAGCCTCTAATGTGCTCATTTGCTCTGTTTTTTTTGTTTCTTTGGGTTTTCTTTTTGCTTTTTGCTACTCTGAAGACAGAAGGCATATGTTATGACTTTAGTGGAACAAGTGGCAAAAGCAGTTTGCTCTTTTCAGTGTGAGTTAAGGGTAAGCTTTTCTGTTTCTGAAGGAAGAGCTTCTCCATCTAAAATGAAAGCTGATGGTGTATCTCCTCCAGCACATGTTTTCAAGGCAAGATGACTAAACAGGGGGTTGTTCTATTGTGAGATTATATGGCAGCACATACTCATTAAAAAAAGGAAAAAAGAGTTCTCTTTCTGTCCTAGTGCAGTTGATCTGTGTTCCAGACTTTCTTACAAACACTCCGAATGTGGTGAGTATAAAAGAGTGGTAAATGCAATGTCTGCTTCAAGGCAAAAATGAGAAAGGGTTTTGCTTTGGGTGAGGAGGCAGACGGTTGTTTTGCTACCCTTTCACCGACACATTCAAGTCTCAGCTGAGCTCTCTTAGGAAAGTGCCATGTGTAAATGCTTACCTTTGGTTTAAAGCAACCTTATCTGTTCACCTTTCCTGTACCATCCTTGCTATACAATCAAACTCAAATACTTTCTTTTGTTGCCTGTTACCCTGGGAAACAAATAGAGCCTTCCTGTAACGTGACTCCTAATAGAACTGAAGGGGAAAAAATTAAATCACATGAAAACTTAAAAAACTAATTTCAAGTTTTCTTTTGGCTTCTGTAAAAAACCTGAAAATTCAATTACGATTTTCTCAAAACAACACCGTAGCCTGGTTTCCATAGAAAATTTGTCTTCTGAAATAATTCTGGGCAATTACTTATACAACTTGGGTAATAATTGATGCAAAAAATCTCAAGAGTTTGGCAATTCTCATGATTTGGTCTTGGATGAAGGTCTCCATAAGAAGTAGGGCCTGAGCAGGACAGGTCTGAACAAAATTGCTGCTCCAGATAAGAACTATATTCTGGTACAGAATATAATTTTAGATTTGCGCTCTGGAAAAAAAACAAACCAAAAATCACTTTATAAAAAATGGCCTGAGTTTGGAGTCACAAAAGAGAGAAGTTAAATCTACAAGTTCCTATTACATCTGGAAAAAAATCAAGCCAGCTTTCTAGAGACACACAAGGAGGAACTGCAGGTTCATCTGTCTTTGTCCACATCTGGGTGTGCTGAGGCTGACAAACGCAGAACAAAAAGGTGTGAGCAACGCAACGATTGCAAAGTGCAACGCACCAGGGCTTGGTGTAATATTTCCTCTGCGTTGTACAAGCACGTCTGTCAAAAAACAAGCACACAGAGTGGTTTTGTAAAAAAGGAGTTAACTTTCTCTGAAGCAGGTCTGTCTCCCCTCCCAGCAGGGCCCAGCATGCCACAGTACAAGCTCACCTACTTCAACCTGCGGGGACGAGCAGAGATCAGCCGCTACCTCTTTGCCTATTCGGGCAAGAAATACGAAGACCACAGGATAGAAGCAGCAGACTGGCCCAAAATCAAGCCAAGTGAGTAGCCCAAGTTCTTATAGCCAAAACTCCTCTAGAAACATCAGCAAAAATGAAAGCAATTGAAGAGGTACCTGTATGTTTTATGAGCAGAAATATGCTTAATTTCTGGCTTTAGTTAAGCTTGTGTGAGTTTTAAGGTGAGACAGCCAAACTGTCACTGCTTATGCTCTCACAGGAGATGGGATCCAAATGTTCAGACAACATGAAGTGCCTTGCCTGCTGTCATCCAGCTGGGCTTTTACTTCTTATCAGTTCAGTACAGTTTTTGTGTAACTAAAGATAACCAAATTAGTGCTAATCTCAGTTTCTCTGGATAATTTGATCTCAAAAAACCACACCTCAGCCTTTACCCTGGGTTTAGAAAGCTAAATTGGAGAGAAGGGTCAGGAAGGACACTCCTTTGCAATGTGAAAGGTGTCCAGAGAGGAAAATTATTGAGAAAAAGTCAATTGATACAGAAAAATGTAAAACCAAAAGGATCAAAAGAGGTACTAGAGAATAGCTCTTCCTAAGAACAAGCCTTACCACCCCTTCCAAAAGTACCCTGCTATTGTACCCCATTCATTTCATGCCTTTTAGTTTAAATAACCTTTTTTCAGCTTTTAAAGGTATTCATTGTTTCTGTTCACTAAATTAACCTTAATTCAAATGAAACAGATCTTGAGTTTGAAGCCTCAGGGTATGAAATCAATGTCTTCATTTCATAGATTAGGGTTGTGTTTGGCTACATGGGCTATGACTTTTCACATCCAGAATGGACAGTAAGGCTTTGGTTTAGGAAAAAGACACACTGATTCACAAGGTGACTTCAATTAATGAAGCAATGTTTCTTGATAAACTTTCACACCATTTAATAAGCCCAGCCAGCAAGCTTCCAAATTTTTCTAGGGTGCAGATTTTGTAGGTTGGTCTTTCCTGTTT